TTTTTTAATATAAATTAATTATAAAAAGTATATAATAATAAATAACCGTGTACTGAACGCCAGAGCTATGAAAGAAAGGCTTCATTTAGGAAGCCCAAAACTCTTCTAATTCTGGCGGGAAAATCGTACAACCGCAGCGCACTATACCAAAAGTCCCAACCTTTACCACGCTCCGTCTGGTTCACTGCTAACATGGCGGCGCCACCGTCGATCACCGATCTTTTCGCCGGATTGGCTTTGCATCTTCAATCGCCTCTTGATCAAGAAGAAGATAAGGTTCTTAATATCTCAATTTCAAACCTAAACCAATCGCTAAACCCAAACCGTAATTCTGAGTTTAGGGTTTTGGACACCGCCCTTTCGCTCATGTGCTTCAAAGCCCCCCAGGTCAGTCCCCTACAAAATTTTATCTTTTTTATGGAGATATTGCTCTGTTTTGACTGTCCGTTAGTGTTAATTTGTTAGATATCTTTTAGGTTTTTGAAAGGAATCTTGAGTATCTGGTGAAGACTATAGTCAGTGTGTTGTCTTCTTCGATTAACTGTAAGGTTTGGCGAGTTCAAAATGAAGAGTCTTTGCAGATAGGTAGCTCCATTTCACGCCGCAATTGCTTGGAATTGCTGGAAATGTGTGAGGATCTTTATGCAAAGTTAGAGGAGCGTGGTAAGTTTTTATGGTCATCTTGTTTTTCAACAAAATTCCTGATTTATATTGATATTTATACTTCTCATAATGTATATGAAAATTTTGTAATCCACTGCACTTCGTTGTTTAGTAAAGCTTAAGCCTTTTTGGCAATAGGGTCATGATTTCCTCATCATTCAATTTAGACTTGTTAAATGAAGATTGGAGAGAGGGTGTGAGAAAGTTACAAATTTTAACAGTTTAATCTGAATGGTGCAAGAAGAAGTCCATTTTTGAGATTAAGAGGCTGTTGTTTTTGTTTCTGGGTTTTTTAGATTTTGTAAGTATCATATAAAAATGTGGAATGCGTTCCATAAATGTTGTGGGATAGGTGATTGTATCATTTTGATGTTGCAGGGGTGCTTCCTAATGTACTATTACATGCTGTTGTAAGATTGGCGGTGTCAGCATCTCAATACCAATATGTATATCCTGTTACCTCTATCATTGACATTAAATCAAGTGAAGAAAGCCCTGCTGTTTCAAATCTGTACAGTCACTTACCTAGGGCTTTATCCCTTGAAAATCAAGAAATGCCACTGAGGTTTGCTCTTCTATTTTTTTGGCCGACCATTGAGGTTTGCTGGAATAATGTTTTTGTTACTTAAATACACAAGTTAAGCATTGGTCATAAACAAAATCCTAGTTGATGTGGAAGTCTGAAAAACAATTTTCAGACAATAAGACTTCCAGGGAGTGAATTATAGCTTCATTACAAATTTTAATTGAATTAGTTACATTTTGTGCAGTCCTCACAGGCCTCACCAACCATTTTATAATAGATTGAGTATAGCTTCTGTTTTGCTTCTTCTTCTTCTTCTTCTTACTTTGTTATTGGCCTTTTATGCAGGATGCTATTTTGGTATCTTGACCCTCTAACTTTAAGGCAAGCTGTTTTGCAAATTCTAAAAGATGCCATTAACAGGCCTTTCCTTTGTTTGAGTGAAGAATTTTACCAGAGGATGGATTGGCGTGCTTTCATTGTATGCTTGGCACTTTCTCCTGTTATGTTTATTGAGAGCAGAGCTCTATTGCATAATTGGTTTCTTATGACGTTAGTATCCTTTTTCTTTTTCTAATTTCTTTATGAATTAATTTCATTTTTCTTGTTCTTGTGGATTTTTTAATTGCTTTTCTTATGTGAATTTTTTGTATATATTTTCTGTTACTATCTTGTTATAGGTCCAAAAATATTCAAAGAAAAAAATGCCCAGATCCCAAAATCTTGATTTTAGTCCAGTACATACTACTATCTCTCTGAAAATGGACTGTCTACAATTTTAGATGTTCTTTGATATCTCATGTGTTGGCTGGCATGATGTTGATTTTCATTTTATAACTTCATAATCGCTGGCTGACAATTAAGTCTTAGGTTAATTTTCCGACTTGTATTATGCACTGTGCTTTTTTGGTATGCTTGTCATGGTTAATGAACCAACATGATCAGTCTTTTCTTTGCATGGTCATTTTTTGTTATTATATGTGTCAAAAGTTTGATGGTTTATAGTGGGAACCTGCATAGATTGTTTGTTCTAATAGAATGAAAACTAGCATCAATGACACGAACACATTTTGATATCATGTTGCAAATTTTATCTGATATCACCTAACCTTCTCAAAAATATCAATCACACTGTTATTTTAGTTTTTAAACAGGGGCTTGGCTTCCATCCTTGACCTTGTAGTTGGAATTGTCTCAGCAATATTGGATGTAATTTCCAGGCCAACATGGTGGGGCCTAAACATGGAATTGGGATCTAAGCTGCCATTTTCCAGTGCATATTTCCCCTACAAGAACCACTTATTGAGGATGCTTGCTGGAGCACTCTCACTTGAAAATTTTCTAAACTTAGTTCGTGCTACATGTGGGCAGTTTTCTCATGGGAGGAAACATGCAATGGATGTTACAAGAACAGACCACAAGTCTCTCTGGTAAACCATAATACTACAAGTATACATGAAAATATGTGTGGGAGCTCTGCTACCGTTTGACAGGATTTTTACCCCCCCAGTGACTAAAGGTTTTTTTTTTTTTTTCTTATGCATTGCTAGCAGGGCTTTGGTAATTGACTTCCCAGAATGGTTCTATTTTGCTTCTTTTTTACTCTTTGCTGGGAATAACCTCGAAGAAAGTCTTATGTCAAAATGTACATTAGGGACACCTGAAATGGGACAAATGCGTGATAAGGAATCTCTGTCTTCTGCGGCAGCTAGGTATATTGCATGGGTGCTGAGCCCCATTAGTAAATCTAATCAGAATTTGCTAGTTGAATGTTTGACTAAAATATCAGAGTCTTGGACTCTCAAACGATTTGGCTCGGGCACAGACGATGAAGAAGCAGCTTACTGCAAGAAGAAACTTAAAAAACTCAAAATTCATGATAAAAGAGAGGTCGATGTTCCTGCAAAAGAATATGATTGGCAAAAGATGAGAACCTGGCTCAGGGAAACCCAAAACATTTATGTGAAATATACTGAGAGAATTGCTTATAATTCTGCTTCTTGTGAAGCAAACGCATCACATGGCTTTAACCTGCAGCAAAATGTGCTGTTAAGGAGAATTTTGTTAGGTATCTTGATTGGGTTCCCTAATTATGTAACAGAGGATGGATGTGAATTACTGCTACATTATGCTGCAACAGATAGAATAGTACAGCAAAGTGAAATTACATTTGCTGGAATGAAACATGGCAAATGGAATTCTGAAAGGCATGAGGACTCGTCTACTTGGACTCTTGAATGTAGCAAAAGAGAAGCTTCAGCAGGTGCTTGTCTTGTATTCAGTTTAACTGATATTGTTGAGAATATATCTGCTTCATATTTTGAAATTGAGGAGAAAGGACTGGATTTTGTTTACCAGGCGAAACTGAAATCTGGGAAGTACTTGATTAAGTGTGTAAAGAGGCTAATAGAGCTGAACATACATGAAGATGGGATTTTGATGTTGCAGGATCTGCTAAATAGATTGGCGCGGTGGAGGCATCAAGGGAGAGAAGTATTGCTGTTTGAAAATGATATGGATGATGTCATCAATAGCTTGAGTTGTAGATCATCTTCATTATCTGGAGATTAGGGAGGAATTACTGATATCTTCTTCTTTTAAGACAATGTTATTGTTGTTGTTATACTAATGTATAAGCGCGCACGCACACACACGAGAGGGGGAGTCAACACACACAAACACATGAGAGGGAGAGTCAGAGAGAGCTTCTTCTGTTGTTTCATGCTATAAAGAATAGGATGTAACAGAATGCAATTAATTCTGAAATGTTGCCATTAAATGTGAAATTGGGAGAGGGGGGTGGGGGTTGGGGAAGGAAAAGGGGAAAAAATAAAAAGAAAGTGGCAATGGATTCATTTCTTTTCTTTTTTGGTACAAATGGGAAGAACAAGTAGTATTCTTTATTAATATTATTTTTTTCTTCAACTTATTTTTGCAATGTGAAGACAATGAAATAGCTTTTTGCTGGAACATACATGCACGAACAGGTTCCAGCAAGCTAAAGGTAATCAAAGTACTGTATAATGTGAAGCTGTATGACACAAATGATAGGTTGCCTATGTGCATAAAGCATCTTCATATTCAGATTTCCCCAAACTTTGTAGCACCTATCGTACTTTATTATTGCCCTTTAACAGAATTTAAACCATATCAGCTTCGCGATATGGCTTGTATAAGCTTGATGCAGCCTCAGAAAGACTCTTGAAAAGCTAAATATGTACTGAAGATGATCTTAACCAGAGACTTCATTTGTTATATGAATGGATCTATTGGTGTTTCAGCTGCACAGAGCCTCAACGGATAGCTTTTTCGTGCTAGTTGGACACGGATCTCCTCCAAAAACTTGAGGAGCTACACTTACTGAACAAGAATGCTGGCCAACGCATTTCTGAAAGAGACTCAAGTTAATCACAAATTTACAGGGAAATTAATAGAAATAGGCCAAACCCCCCCCCCCCCCCAATTCACCCCTTAAGTATCGGGATAGGGTCAGATTCACCCTCAAACTAAATGTAGGGCCATATTGTCCCACTAACTAATTAAATTGAACAAAATGACCTCAAATTTAACTGCTACTATATCACATGACATCAGCTTTCCATTAATTTTTTTGCTTACATGGCATTTTTATCTGGCTTGGCAATATCAGAAAGTTGATGTCATATAATGACAGTAGTTAAATTTGGAATAGTTTGTTCAATCTAATTAGTTAGAGGGGTGATTTATTACTGTATTTAGTTTGAGGGTAGATCTACCCCTACCCCCAAACTTGGGGGGCAGATTTGTGGTTTCGGCCTAGAAAATAAAACTCATAAGTCATAACTACGGTGGTCCTGGAGGCACAACTAGAATTTGCAACTCATTTCTCTATCAGTCAAATATTTAATAGTTTAACACTGCAGTGTATCAAGAAACCCATAAAAGATGACAGCTGCTTCACTGTACCTTCTGAAAAGCATTGTAGGACTTGTGTGCATGACAGCTTCCCTCACGAAAGCTTCCACAAGTCCCCTCTGGCAATCCATAGCTAGCAAACTTTATTTGAGATATTTTCTGCCCTCCAGGACACCATAAATGGGCTTTGAGTTTATTGACTTTGCTAGAGGATGGCGAACGCCAATTTTGTAATGATGGCTGCCCTTCATAAATATCAGCACAAACACTTCTTGTGGTTCTCTTGACCAAAGAAATTCCAGTTGGATCACCACCCCATTCTTCAAACACAACCAGAAAATTTCCACTTGGATTCAACCAAGAACGTGGAATATGGTACCTGAAAGCCAAGAGTTTACTATGAATATCTCGATTGGATGGACAACTAATAACAGAAATGAGTACTCTTTCTCACCATCTTTGGGAAGGTTCTCCACAGCCAGTCTGGCATTTCTTGTCATCATACCTTCCAGCATAGTTACAAGCACCACAATTACCATGCGCTATGTATCCAGGCCAATGGCGTCCAATGCTTTGTCCATTTATCCATATCTGACCTTTTCCCATGCTACTCATATCTAAAGCTAATGGGTCATCTCCTTCTGGTGCACTGAAGGTAGTCTGTAAACGAGTATTAAAAATTTTTGGAACTTGTTTACCCTTTGAATAAGTTGGAATCTAATTGACTAAGCATTGAAAATCTTGAATTATTCTCACCTTGTACCAAGTCAAAGGTTGTTTCTTGGCCAAAAGTGATCCATCTACCCATTCAACAGAAGAGCTTCCACTAACTGTATGAAGGTTTAAAGCTTCACCTGCAAGACCGATCTGTTGAGGACCATGCCAATGCAATGTGTTAGTACATCTCATTTACATAAAATCGTTAATTTATTGACTTCAATTATTGTGAAGAACTGAGGTATGTAATTACATATCCCTGAATTATAATGTGGCCAGACAACAAACCTTGTAAGACCATTTCTGCCCAGATAAATCTCTTGTCCCCTCATTCAGACCCTTCAATGTTACAGGGCCTAGAACCCCAGCATTCCATGTGTCAAAATGAGTGCCAACATTCTGAAATAGATTCAATAGTCAGAAAAAGTCTTCTCCCACCATCAACAATGCTAAGAAAAACCCACAGCCTCATCGGAAAGTAAGAGAACTAACCGGGAGTCCAACTGCAATACTTAACAAAGACAGCTTGTTAACGCCAGCTCTCAACTGAATATTTTGGCTAAATGTCAATTTTGGATTTTCCAATCCACCATACACGGTCCCTGAGTTGAGGTATAGGAATTCAAGTTGAGTTGGTATAACAGAACAGGAAACCATTTATTATAAATAGAAATGAGGATAGAAAATGCCAAAAAATCGGCTTCACCTGATAGTTGACCATTAATGAAGACATGTAAAGCATGACCTGCTGACCAAATGATAAGCAGAGGATCTTGTCCATTATTCAGGAAGGCTTCATTAGGATTTATGTTTACACTGAAGCAAAAACATGTAGTTTTAAAGATATTGCAGCAATGGTTGCTATTTTCTTTGGACTAAATATCTCAAAAAATATGAGACCATGATTCATAATGATTACTCACTCTGTCATGTACCACAAGTAATCTGTAGCATCTCTGGTAACATTTATCTGTTCCCATAGCCCTTGATTTGCAAAAGTGCCATCATCATCAGCAGAGGGGCTCCCTTCATTGTATGATTGCCAAGAGAATTCACTGTTCACAGGTACCATATTCTTCTGTGAGCTTTGGGCACCAAGCTGTCCAGAAAATGTAATTAGATGTTAAATCATTAGGGAACTGAATATGGAATCAGCTAGCTATCCTCAATCTAGCAAAGTATTGTTTTTACCCTGGCAGTATTGAAAACTGCAGTTTTGCAGTCGGGAAGAATGCTGATGGACCATGGTGGTAGGTCATACTCTGTATTACCAAAGGTAACTGTTGCTGAGGATTTTGTATCATAGTTTGCAAGAAAAGTGGCACATGCCCCCAAATCTGACTTGAAAACATGAGCCTAGGAATAACAATAACAATGAGTGAAAAGAGTGAAGAGGAAGAACTAAATGAGTTTGTGTGTATAATTCTCCCTCCGCTAGCTAGCTGAGAAGCCTTACCTCTTGATTGTTTCCAAGTGGTGTAACAGTGGGATCAGCAGAAACTAAAGCTGGTTCACATAATTTAATAGCTTTATGCAAGTCTCTTAAATGTCCATACTTTGGTTCCCTTAGTAGCCCTGTCACAAAAAACAGAAAAGCCATTTAGACCATCGAAAATTTATTCTGTTTTTGCAAATGGTGAGTAAGGACCCAGCTTCATCTTGGTAGAATATAACTCCTATTAATTAATGGACCCCTTTGACAATAGGTTTCAGTAACCTAATTCATCAACAGGGCCAGAGGGTCCTAATTCTTTGTGTGGAAAAACAATTTACTATAATATGGCTCTCAAATCAAGTGGTTGGAATCTTTAATAAAGCAGGTAAACAACTTCAATACAGCTTATTTCTGGATGCCAACCATATTTCCATACCATATTCATCAATAGGAGCATCATAGTCATAACTGGTAGCAATAAAGGGACCACCAGCAGTCCGACCAAAATTGGTTCCTCCATGGTACTGAAGCAAAAGAAACAAGTACAGTGGATAAATCAGCAAGGTTTCTGTAGTTTTTTTGTTTCCTATAATTGGATATATAGAGGACCATAATTTGGAGGGGAAGGAAGGATCAATTGATGATTAATTTACCATATAATAATTAACAAATGAACCACCATTCTGTATAAATCTTGCAACTGAAAATGCCAAGTCCTCAGCTGGTCTATTAGGAATGGCACCTCCGAACTCCGTATACCTTGGGGTTAAAATAAGGAAAGACCAAACCACACCAATCATTAATCTTACAGAAGAGATCCCATATTAGTAAAACAATATAATAACTATTCAGAAGCACCATAGATGTTTTCATGGGGAGGTTTGATACTTTGATTGGTGAAACAATAAAAACCGTAAGCTTTAGGTGGATAGGATGACATTAGCTAAACTAGAAGATATTTGTGTGACTTACCAGCCAGTCCAGTTTTCTGTCCACATTTTTGGTTTGTATTTTTGGTTTGGTTGAAAATTTTCACAGTACCAGTAATTGCAGGTGTTTATCTGTCACAGAAAAAACCAGACAGATATATTTTCACAGTGATTAACTAACTAACAATTAACCCACATAAAATTGGCCCCAAAATACCAAGTAAAAATATTTTACTGGTAAGAAAACATTCCCATTATTTCTATCATTACAAAAATTTCCAGAGAAGACAAAAGAACAAGAAAATGATAGCCATGAACCCGTGAATCTGAAAATGAAGAAGAGCCAGCAAAAAAAAAGCGTGTGAGATAAAAGTCTAGAGTTGAAGGCTACCTAAAGTTAGACAACATACTGTTACAAACCCCACCAAAGAAAAGAGGCCAAAATTAAGAATCAGATTCACAGAAACCAAAATGCAAGTGCATGACGGAAAAATAATAGAAAGAAGATGTTTGAGCAAAAGCGGGCAGGAAGATTTTACCACCGGGTCTGGGGCATCATCTTGCTTGCACATCACCCATGGGACTCCTGTGTCAAGTCCCACTGCCATTTGCGCAGCCCATTTGGTGTATGCCTTACCAGGAGCTCCAATTTCCCACTCAACAGGTCCAAATTCATTCTCAATCTGCCAATTTAAAATTGATCAAAAGATATGAATCCATTTCAGCAGCTTTTTGTTGAGTAGTGGGGTAAATTAAAAGAAAATACACAGCAAGAGTCATTGTTTCCTACCTGAGACAGAATTATTGGACCTCCTTGAGTTTCAAACAAGTTTTCTGCCTTCATCATGCTCACTATCTTCTCGGTGAATTTTTGCATTGCAGCCTACATTTTGGTCAATTACAAGTCAATTTTGTCGTTCGTACTGGCTTTTTTTTATGGCAGTTTCGACTGAGAAAACTATTCTCAATTATTAATAAATCAAAATAGTAAAGAAAAAGGGTAATACAAAAAATTAGGAATAAATCTAAAAATGAAATTAAGAGTAAAAATACCAAACCTTGAAAGGCCCATTATCTGTTCTAAATTCAATGCCAGGAACATATTTCAGCCACACAGGAAATCCCCTGCACAAGAACAGAGCAAAAGGAAAAACATGACCATAAGTATTCTTCAAAATGAAAAGAAAAAAACAGAAGAAAAGAAAAGACTAGTGTTAAAATTATTACCCAAAGTTCCATTCAGCACAAACATAGGGACCAATTCTGAGATGAAGGTAAAGGCCGGCTTGTTGAACCAGCTTAATGAACTTGACCAAGTCATATCTGTCCTCAAAATAATACTGCAAAAAGAATAAATAAATAAATAAATAAAAATGAAGGGAAATAGGAAGAGAAAAAGAAGATGAAGAAGAAGAAGAAGAAGAAGAAATTAGAATTGGAATGCATTTGCAATTTTGCATTACATTTCCAGGAGAAGGTTCATGGCCATTCCAGAAGACATAGGTCTGAATAACATCCAAACCTCCATCTTTGGCCTTTGCTATAAGATCAGGCCACATCTGCAGAAACCAACAGAGAAAAACCTAAGTTTGAAAACTGCTAAAATTACCAAACCCCGTAAAATAAAATAAAAAAAAAAAAAGATCAACAAAAAGAAGAGAAACCCATGAGGTACATTGGGAAAAAACAGTACCTCAGGAGTGCTTCTTGGGTAATGAATGGAGCCAGAGATGAGAATCCTCCTCTTCCCATTAACAATGATAGCTTTTCTATCATATGAGACAGTGGACATAACAGAACAAACCCATGAAGAAACCAACAGAAATAGTATGAAAAAAATGCTCCCAACCCGCAACATGATGATGATGATGTTGTTGTTGTTTCTCAACATAATACCACCATTCTATCTATGTTGCTCAAAGCAATGAGCTTTTGAGAATGGTGCTTTTGTTTGCATACTTTAAAGGGTGAAGTTTGGATTTTGATTTTGAGGTTGGGTTTTTGGAAAGCCTTCTTTTTTTATTCTTTTGAGGGTAAGAGACAGGGGGAAGAAGTAGCTGGCACTTTGGCGGAATTTATTAACTTGGGGAGAGACAATTTGATTTGAGTTTCGTAGTGAGAGGGGAGTTATTTATAAATGTGTACTGTATGTTGGAGCCAGGAGGAAAGGGATCCCGCACTTGGATTTGGACGGGGGAGTGATGGCTCAACCTCCCCCACACGGAACTCAGTGTGACCCAACCACTTTATGCATCTTTCTTCACCCTTTGGCTTTGTTTACTCCTTAATGATGTGACCTCGTTTTCTAAGTTAAGCCTAAGACTTTAGTTTTTCCTCTCTTTTTTTGTTTTTGTTTTTTTCTTCTCTTTATTGCACAACAGAAAAGCAAAATTTACTATCAAAAACTAATAATGGGTGGTAGCTCCTTATAACTGTAGAAGATGAGAATAATCCCTTCATAACATATTGATTATTTGTCTTTTTTTGTTTTTCCTTTTTTTATCAATTTATGGAGTATCAATTCAACTGGTTAAAGAGTGCATCCTTCATATGGTCACTTGATTTCAAAATTTCATTCCTAGAATTTTATACAGTTACTCTCTAATAGTTTTTTCTTGGAAATCAAACCCTCACTAATAATATAGAAAATGACTTCTTTATTAAGCAAGTTGTGCAATGGTCTAAGCAGATTATTAACTTCTTCCTCTTTCTTTATTTTTATTTAATGATTAAAATGTTATTGGATGACTTATATTTACCTCGAAATTACTATCTCTTAATATGGTTAAAAATGAGTCATTATGTGAATCATAAGAAATTTATAAAAAAGTATTTTCCTATTAGTTTTCTTAAAAATCAAATATTAATTAATCATATGAAAAGTAAACTCTCTTACTAGTTAAAATACTTCATATTTAATACAAATGAATATGAGGCTTAGTGTTGATGACTAATAAATTTTAATACTTTTTTTTTTCTAATTTTTATAAGATTTCCTTTGTTCAGATTCCATGCCATTCATATCATAAGTAAGAAATAAGAAAAGAAGATTCTTGTAGGTAAGACTTCAACTTGAATATGTACAAATCATGATCATATATATGAACCAAATCTTATGGCTTTGTAAGAATTTAACGGGTCGAAATTAATTTATGAAATCCTAACTTTATGAATAAGTGGCCTTCTGGATATTTGTAATAGTAAGTAGTCTTTTCATTGAAAAAAAATAGTGATAAATTCTATATTATTATGTAATTAAATATTAAAAATACCTTATTTCACAAATTATAAAATAAAACGTATTAAATAAAAAAGTTTTTTATACTAAAAATTTTATCATATTTAATTATTTAATATACGCAACTTAATACAGTTACCAAATTACACAACTCTTTTTTTATTTTATTTTTTTAAATGATTATAATTTGAGAAGATGAAATTTAAATCTTAATTTTAAAATTAAAAGTATATATTTTACAATAAAATATATAATTATCAGATCACGAAACCCAAATACAACTCCTGTTTCATTAGGTAAAAGTAACGAAGGAATTAGTTAATTTTCCCGGGAGTGGTCAATTAAATCTATAACTACTCCGTTAAAGAAAAGGAAGTCAAGTTGCCGCCATTTTCAACTCCATGACGTAATAAAGTACGTATTGCTGGAGAGCAGTATCCTAGTTTTTACTCATATTTACTTTGACTCCAAGTGTCACCATTGACCAATACTGCCCCGCCACGTGTCCCCCCAAAACCTTCAATTTTCCAATTCTTCCGTGTACACGTCGCCTTTTGCTTCCGGTTTTCCTCTTGAAAATCATATTTTAAATCAAATTTTGAAAAAGTTAAAAGAAATTATTTCATCTTCTTCTTCCTTGGCTGCTAAGTGACGTTTTTTTATTATGTTTATTAAAAGATAGTAATTGATATATTTTTTTATTTAATATATTTTATAATGTATTTATTAAAAAATTATTATTTTTAAATTTAAATTAAAAATATAAAAATTATAAAATTTAATAATTAAACTAATAAATATTATGAAGTGTATTAAATTAAAAAATTTATCCATTATTTTTCTTATTTTCCTTATTTTAATTATAGACATTGGATTGAATTTGTGAAATCACAATTCAACATCAAAACTAAAATAAAATTAGAAATAATTCATGAAAGTTGAGTAAGTGGATAAAATTTCAATGCTTAACTAACAATTTTTCTGTACAAGTTTTGCTCCCAACTATCTTCATGGATTAACAATCTGTAAATTTTACTCTACGGAATCATGAATTATTTAGGAGATGTATTTAATGTCTTAATAATGGTCAAAATTCAAATTATGATACTGTTATATTACAATTTCTCATTCTTTAACCCTTAAATTGTACCTATTTAAAAAAATAATAATATGTAAATTCTAACTATTAAGTCCTCCAGTAAAGCTAACAGTATGCCTTAATTGTAAATTAGGGTAAACTTCACTTACCCTAGAATTTTAGGTACGAAAGAAAAATAGTAAATAGCTAGTATTAGTTGGTAATGTAACTTTTAAATTTTGACTTAATTAAAGAGTTATTAGTTGAATACAGATATATATTAAGTTTTACTCAAATTGTAATAGAATTACATAATAATATAGTAAAATTAAAAGGAGATATGAACGAATTCCTTAAGGGATGCGTGGACAGATAATTAGCTGTTATGTTTACTATGCTTAATTTGTTTTTTTTTTTTTTATGAGAAATAGAGAAATATATTAAGTAATAAAAAATTACAACAGAATTTCCATCTCATAGTATATAGTCAAAATCAAAATAACATAAGGATAAAATCAAAAGCATAACCTATAACATTATCAACAAATTTAAACTATACTCATGACAGATATAAATAATTAAACAAAGAGAGTTATTTGACACTAAGGATTAAATTTATAATCGCTGTATAGGTTAAATATGATTATTAATATAAAAAGGAAAGTTGAGTATTAAGAACTAATGGACATTCTCACTTATTTAACTAGTTTATTGGGGAGAGTAAAGGATTTCGATAATAAACAGTCCCCCATCTACTAGTTGTCGCCCTAGTTGTTCTTAAAGAAGAACAACCAAGAAGGATGCTTAATTTGTTTTTTAATTATGACTTTTAGTATTAATCATGGGAAATTAGGAGTATGGTTTTGGGTTGGTTTTTGATGGACTGGAATTCACGTGGAAGGAAGAATAATAATGTTTCATGATATGGTTTTGGAATTTGTTGTATGGAAATTTCGAACTCGGTGGGTGGGTTGATTTACTAAATTAAAGGTTACGCATACAAATATATATTTGTAATCAATACTAAAATGCTTTGGACAAAACTTATCAATATCCACTTTATTTAGTAAATAAAAATTATATTTTCTTATGACTGGTCGAAATTTTTATAGGAAATGAGCATAAAAATTTAAATTTTGACTATATGAATAAAGAAGTATTTTTTTTATCAATAGTTATATTGTAAAATTAAACTACCATACAAAAATAGATTAACCATGCAAAGAAAATTAAAAAAAACTATAAAATATGTCATTAAATAAAATCGTTTAAATTTTACCGTGCATTATATATATAGCTCAAATTGAAAAACCGTAAGCTTAAATAAAACAAAAACAAGAAAAAAAAAAAAAGAGGAAATAATTTAGAAGGTGAGACAAGATTCAATTTCAATAGAATATCTAACGTGAGTTTTCAGACTATAATGTTAACAAATTCTTGTTCCAAACAGCTGTAGCAACAAAGCAAATCATTACAAAAAAACAAAAAAGAATGCGTGGAACATGAATTTCATGAATTATGAATTTTTCTAATATTTTTTTATGGGTGCGAAATATAATAATTGTTTGCACCTACTATTTTCTGGCCTATTCACCCAAAAAAAAAAAAAATTCTATTTTCTGGCTAGTGAGAGTTGAGGGAGAATAATAACTAAATTCTCACCTTATTAGAAGAAATGATTTGTTTAATTGGTATTTTAGAGTGTAATAAATATAT